CTGAAGTCAACAGCCCCAGGCCTGCCGGAATAGCCAGGTTTTAGTGGCTTTTCGGAAGGCCGGGAGAGTGGGGAGGGTCCGGATCTCTACGGATAATGGCTTATCAAGACCCAGTTCTGTTTGACTGAATGTAATTCTTGAGGGTATCACTATTCATTGAATAAAAACACTTCACGCGTTTGCTAGTAGCTGAACATATAGTGCCACTTTTTTCTCCATTAGGTCAATTGAAGAAACATTCAGCATGGCAGATGAAAGTTGTGGTCTCAATCCTGCACTGATTCGAAGGAAGAAAATTGCCATTAGCATCATTTTCACCCTTCCTGAGAAAGAAGAGGCCCAGAGAAATTTCCAGGATTTCTTCTTCTCTCATTTCCCCTTATTTGAATCACACATGGGCAAGCTGAAAAGTGCAATTGAAATGGTAAAGCAGTGGACAAATTTAGTTTCTATCCTTACAACCTCTAAGTGGGTAAGAATGGGAGAGAGATATATTAGCTCAGGGGTCTGCAACCTTGGCAACTTTAAGCCTGGAAGACTTCAGCTTCCAGAATTCCCCAGCCACCTTAAAGTTGCGAAGGTTGGAGACCCTTGTATTAGGTTATATCTAGGAATTTTGTAACTCAATTCTTCTTCAGAATTTTACATGTTAAATTACCAAAAACCTGTTATCTTTCTAAGAATTTCAGTGTCTGCTTCTCCTGTACTTCCTGAATGCTGTGAATATAGTTCAAATGGCTGACCGAAAGGTTTGCATGTAGAATTAGCTTTACATGTAGAATTAGCTCTACATGCATATCCCTCAATATGATCCCTAGGCAAGTAAATTTCTGGATTAAAAATTTATAGCTTTACAAAACATTTGTTCTAGATGGGCGCATTGTACTTGTGGCCATTAAAAACAGGACAGTTAATCATGCCTGGTCTGGGCTGGTATAATAATCCTTTCCTGTGCTTTGATACAATATATAGCTCTGGGTCACAGACCAGTATTGGTCTGTGTCCTGTTAGAAACCAGGTCACAGAGCTGGAGATGAGCTATGGGTGAGCGAAAGTGTGCATGCACAGGATCTAAGTTCCGTGCTCCTCCCCCTCCCATGGAAAAATTGTCTTCCACAAAACTGGTCCCAGCTCTGCTGATATAGGTAATAAATTTGAAGGAGGTTTAATTTGCACCCAGCATTCCTCCTCACTTATAAATAAGGCCCACTTTATTTAAAGCCTTTTTATTTGAGTGCATGGCATGTGGTAGCTCTTCCTGAACTTAGTTTTGAATTCATCTTAAGCTGATTGTCCACTTTTAGGTGAAAACTGTTTTACTTTTTTTCTTTTTCTTTTCTTTTTCCTTTTACTGGAGTAGAAAGACCTAAGGGCTGTACTGAGACGGGAACGATGCAGACTAGTTGAGGCTGTATCCCATTCTTGGGTGGGGCTGAATTTTTTAGGGTTTTTTAAAATTTTATTTTGGAGGGTAGCCTACTTCTGCAGTTTTTGAATACAGTACTTTCTAATTCAAAAGGGCTCTAGAAATGTTTTTTTTTTTTAATTATTTTAACGGAAGGTTTAGGTTGCACATACCTGCTCTAGAATTGTTTTCTTTGTAGGCAAATACCAGAAAGAAGAAAGTGTAAAAACCTGTATCCCAAGTTTGGTTCTAATGCTCTTCTAGGTTTTTCAATATACATCCTGAAAATTTCAGCTCTGCATTCATTTTTAACCCATTCTTATCCCCCTCCCAAAATAGGCTATGATAACATGTAGAAAAATAGCAGAAACAAACCAAAGAGTGCAAGTTTACATTAGCCGTATTATGGATGCACTGGATGAATTTAGGTGAGTTACTATTACATCAAATATTTTTGGGACGGACAAGCTATGCATCTGTTCTTAAGATTAATCTATTTCACAACTCAGATTCTCTTCTCTTTTTTTACTTCTGTCCTTGCACTAATCTTCCGATGGTCCTCAACTTATAACCACAATTGTGATCAAAATTTCTGTTGCTGAGCAAGACAGTTGTTAAGTGAATTTTGCTCCATTTTACAGCCTTTCTTGCCACAGTTGTTAAATGAATCACTGCAGTTGTTAATTTAGTAACCTGGTTGTTAAGTGAATCGGGACTTCCCTTTGACTTTGCTTGTCAGAAAGTCACAAACCGTTATCACATGATCCCAGGACATCGCAACTATCATGAATATATGCCAGTTGCCAAGAGTCTGAATTTTGATCATGTGCCCATGGGGACGCTATAACATTTGTAAATGTGAAAAACTGTCATGTCACTTTTTTCAATGCTGCTGTAACTTTGAACAATCACTAAATGAACTGTTGTTATTCGAGGTCTAGCTATATATTCATGTAGATTTTAGTGGGGATCATTTGAATCTTCCTCACTCAAAACTAAACATCCTTAGTGCAGGTACTAAAGATGAAAATATTTCATACTTGATTTCTGTAATAAGTCGATAAATAGAGAATTCTTACTTTTATTTTTTGACCTCTCTCTTCTCTTTTTCTTCAAATCCTTCAGGCTATGATATGCTAGAAATGATCTTGTATGCAACATTACTTTCTGAAAGAGGCAAAAGATAATTTGGTGATTTAAATGGTGATTTATGTCATTTCTGTTCCTTAAACACACCAGTGGTGGGTTTCAAAAATTGTTGGAACCTACTCTGTGGGTGTGGCCTCCTTTGTGGGAGTGGCTTGCCACCCATGTGACCGGATGGGAATGGCTTGCCGCCCATGTGACCGGATATAAAATTATGAATTAGTACTTAGGTCGGTCCAAGTAGCTATTCAGAAACTCTGGCATTGAAGCATGCAAGTCTTAAAGCTGTCAAGTACAAGATCCTTGCCAGTGGTGGGTTTCAAAAAATTTTGGAACCTCTTCTGTAGGTGTGGCCTGCTTTCCGGGTCCACTGGTGGAACCTCTTCTAACCGGTTCGGTAGATTTGACGAACTGATTCTACCGAATAGGTGCGAAGTGGTAGGAACCCACCTCTGAAACACACACATCATACACCTGAAATTCAGAAACACAGTCCTTCATCCAGTTCTGGAGTATTGGCTCAGGAGAGCTGATTGTTAACATTTTAGGTATTAAAAGCAAAGCTCAGCCTCAATATCTAGTATGCAATTTTATTTTTATTTTTTTGCAACAAATGGTGCAGTGGCAATGAAATTGTCAGAACTGGTTATTAAATATCAGCCTTTACCCATAGTAGAGCATCCATAACTTTATAATGTATCAGGATAGAATTGTTTAAAAAAAGCAATTCTGTCTTGTTAACTTCAACCTTGATAACTTAATGGACATTTCCATGCCATTTACTTTGTGGCAATACAGAAGCAGTTTGCCATTGCCACCTTTATTGCTACTTATCAATATGCCTGGGATTTTGTAGTGGTTTCCCATCTAGGTAATAGTGAGGTCCAATTCTGTTTAGCCTTTTTGGAGTCTGTGAGATGCTTCTATTTCCTCTGATGCTGTGTGTGCAGACACCAATCTAAATTTAATCTGAGGCATACCGCTAACCCTAACAAATTGGATAGATTTTTTTAAAAGTAAGACTTAAAGCTGCTGTTCTTTAAATATATGTGTGTTGGTTGATTATAAGTATTATATATTTATACTATGATAAATGATTCAGTGTCAAGGAATCACTATCAACATTTTTGCTTGACTTTATATATTGTTTTCCAAATTTGACAACTTTAGGATGTGTAGACTTCAGCTTTCAGAATTTCCCCAAGATGCCTGTTCTAAGTCCTTAGTTAACCATTCTGATTCCAGAAATCAATGATACATAGTTGAATAAAATAGAAGCCAGTAGCATTGGTGACTAAATATTTGATTTCCAATTGTTCAGAAGCATCCCAAAGGTGCTTTATTTTCAAGAGGCAACTGGACTTTCTGGTTTTTTTTCTTTGAAGATGTTTTGCTTCTCATCCAAGAACCTTCTTCAGCTCTGACTGGATGATCATTAATTAATTATAAAGTATCCTTTCCCTAAGAAAATGAAGATTTTTTTTAAAAAAAATAAAGATAAAAAATGGAAACTAGAGAGAATTAGAATGAATTAAAGATTACAATTAAAGGAGAACACTCAAACTCAATTTACAATTACGGAGTGAAGAATATTGAAGAATATTTGTGAACAGTGGATCCAGAAGTTAATTTTAAGAGTGTGTGAGATAGACTATATTTGAAAGAGATCATGGAAGAGGAACAAATTTTACTTGACAAGATCGAAACTGATAGGTCAAGCTATAAGAATGACATGGAAATATGTTGCACTGTACATAGAAAAGAAACTGGCTGATGTTTTTATAATTAAATGGGATAAATAACAAACCAAGAGAACAAGATGGATAGTTTTTGTACATTGAATTTACAGGCTTGTTAGAAGTTTTGAAGAATTTGTGAGAAGAGACAGAGGAAAATAAAAAAATCAAATCCTAGGACATATTTAAATAAATAGTTTGAAGGAAATGAAGGTCAAGATAATTAGAAGTAAAAGAAAGGAATACAAAATTGGATTATTTAATCAAGGTTTAAGTAGATATGTAAAGGTACATCTTTGATAACCTTTAATGGTCTTTAGATGATTAGGACTAAAACAAGAGATTCTGTGCAATTGAAATTTTATAAAACATTTCCTATGGTCAATTCCTGATTTTTCACCATGCTATATAGTTTAACGTGGGTTATATCTCCCTGAATTTTGCAGTGAAGTTTAGGTTAGGTTAGGTTTATTCGATTTATATGCCGCCTTTCTCCCAAGGACTCAGGGCGGCGTACAACATTAAAAGAAACACATAATACAAAAGTTAAGAAGAAATTAAACAGGATATCCCAAACCCAATTAAAATTGACAATGACACTTTTTAAAAAAAGAATTAAAATTAAAATTAACAGTAATCAATAATTTGATTTGTTTTGTTCAGGCGAGGCTGGCTTGCTGGAAAAGCCAACTTTTTAGGGCGCGTTGGAAGGACCGGAGGTCGGGGATTATGCGAAGCTCCGGGGGCAGCTCATTCCAGAGGGAAGGCGCTCCCACAGAGAAGGCTCTCCCCCTGGGGGTCACTAGCCGACACTGTCTGGCCGACGGCACCCTAAGGAGACCAACTCTGTGGGATTGCACTGGACAATGGGAGGCTACCGGTGGCAGTAGGTGGTCTCGCAGGTACCCTGGGCCTAAGCCATGGAGCGCTTTAAAGGTCAGTGAAGGCAGTACGTTAGAAGCTCTGCCACTGTTGAAGAATTTGCCAAGGAAATGTCTCTGAAACTGGGACCCGATGGGTCACAGGTCGTCTAATTACTGTTAACAATTTATATCCCACCATTTCTTCAGGAGCTTCGGGCAACAACCACAGCACTACCTATTTTTCCATTCAGCAACTGCTTTTTGTGGTAGATAGTGCTGAGAAATGCTACCTGGCCCAAAGACTGCTTTCAGACTTGCATTGCTGGATCTCCAAAACCATCAGATCAATTTTGTGCTGAGCACAAAATACAATGTGGGAAGCTACTAAAATTGAAAGAATTTGGCAAGAATGTCATTTATTTGGCAAGAATGTCAAGCAAGCAAGCTTCAGTCAAATTAGCAAGCAAATGTAAAACTTGAAAAGTGAGTGGCTGGTATGAAAGAAGTACATTGAGCTGTTTTGGTTATATATAGTGAATGAATGAGGATACACTGAAAAATACATAAACAAAGGAAGAATGAATAAATCAAGAGGAAGAAGAAGCAGTTTTGGTTGTTCTCCCCATTATGGGAACAATAGTTTTATATTTGAACCATTTCCTCTTGTTTGAGCTAACATGGTCCTTTTTCTTTTGGTAGAACTACAATATGGAATTTATACACAGTTCCAAGGATTGCAGATCCTGTGTGGCTTACTATGATCTCTTGTGCTTCAGAAAAGAATCTGTTATGCCAACACTTTCTCAAGGAATTTGCTGTTTTGATAGAACAGAGCAGCAAAAACCAGTGAGTAATCTTGTTTTGTGTTTTTCCTCTAGTTTGAATGAGAGGTTTATTGCAGATATATAATTTCGTTTCTGCTGCTGCTTATTTTTATAGGTTTTTTGCTGCTCTATTAACAGCAGTGTTAACCTATCACTTGGCCTGGGTCCCTACTGTGATGCCAGTTGATCATCTCTCCATCAGGGTATTCTCTGAGAAACATGCCTCATCATCTGTGAACATGCTGGCAAAATCACATCCCTACAATCCACTTTGGGCACAGCTTGGTCAGTACAAACAAAATCATATCTAAATTCAAGATGACTCGAGGCATGGAAGATTTTTTTTTCTGGAAAGAAATGTGCTCATATGCACAAATCTTGATTTATTTTAATTTGTTAGGCCACCAAATCCTCTGGGATTTCCAGCAGTTAAAAATCCATGAAATGTTCATGACAGGAGGCAACATTAAAAATAAATAGATCAACCATAAGAACAGGGCTTTCAATCAAATTCTGATTGAAATAGCTGTACTTTTGGTTTGATAATCAAAAATTACCCTGTAGTAAGATGGGAGGCCAATAAATTTAATAATAAATAAATAAATCCCTTTAAAATGGATAATACATATACGTATAGTATAGTATAGTATAGTATAATATAGTATAGTATAGTATACCTATAGTAAAATGATTATTATGAATTGTATTCCAGAAGATCATTCAAAATTCCATTGAGCAAGTATAAATTACTTTTTCCAGACTTTTTTTGTAAACAAGATTCAAATATCTAGCATGAAATATAATGGCTTCTTGTTCCTTCCAATTAGAAAATTATTAAACTAGGTTTGTCTTCTGAGTCAGATTGTTACTATCATGATGCGTGCCCTCTAGCGGTTGCTAAATAGCTTGCATGCTACAAAATTGGGTTTAATTCTCTTTTGATATCCTTATTAGTGAAACATAAATGAAAAAAAAAACATATATTCATGAAACACATAATCTGGATCACTTAAGTGCCATGGTTTATAATAATACTTTATCTCAGAGCCCAGTAAAAGCATTGTGACATATACATTAGATCATTCTGGATCCTAAATGGGAAGTCACATCACTTTCTCACACCCCCAATCTGGAGTAGACATTTAATTCTCCTACTTAATAGAAGTGGAGTAAAAGGATGTTTTTGGGCATCCAGTCATTATATTTCATCTTCAACATTTCTAGATAGACTTGTTCAGATCTTCCAGAACTCAATTTCACAGTTATGCTATTAGTATTTAAAACAGAAGATTGTTTTAGCAGTAGTTAGGAATTGCTACCATAATAGTTATGCTGGCGATTGATTTTAGCTGTCTCATCTTGTTGCCATTTCTGTGAGATATGCAATTTCACATTATTTTTTTAATTGCAGTTCTTTGCATAATTTAGCAAAAAAAAGTTTTTAGAAAATTAAATTCTGTTAAGTGTTAATCTTCCTCTACTGAAATAAATATAATAAAATTGAATTACAAAAGTGGATCATTTTACTGAGGTGTGGGTTTATCATTTAAGATGAAATAATATCTTAGTGCTTTCATTCTTTTTGTAGTTAGGTTAAACAAATAGATTAGGTATTTGGCATTGGTCTTTGATGTATATATTTTTTAATTATTATTTTTTTCTTTGCTCACTGTCCTTATTTAGGTGATTTATATGGTGCTGTAGGTTCACCAGTCAGAATGACAAGGACAGTAATTGTTGGGAAACGTAAGGATTTTGTTCAGCGCATTCTCTATGTCCTTACATATTTCCTACGGTGCTCTGAGTTGCAAGAGAATCATCTCATCTGGAATGGGCAGCTTAACAAAGGAGAGCAAGCTGTGAATGGCAGGAAAATTATAACGACTCTGGAAAAAGGAGAAGTTGAAGAATCTGATTATGTGGTTGTCACAGTTCAGAACGAACCTGCTCTTGTACCTCCTGTCCTGCCTCAAAAGAATGGTGGTGATGCTGCTGCTGAAGAACATGAATGCTGCTTTGAAACTGGCTGCTTCAAGGGCAAGCATGAGAGGCTGAATGCCGAGGGCAGTTCTGAAGCATCGCCACGCTTTGCCAGAGTTAGCTCTCCAAAAGGAACTGTGGGAGAAATTAAGAAAGGGAAAACTTTAGTTAATTCAGAAACCGCATGTGGAAGGCATGGTCTATTAGAGGATTTAACTGCAAGAATGAATGAGGACAAGCAGCACAATATAACAGGGGAGTTGTTTCAAAACCTGACAGCTGTTCCACATTCCAAGAAGATTGCCCAGGTCTATTCTCAACTGGAAAAAATTACCTTTCAGATTGGAAGCTCCACCTCACCAGAATCTGATTCCGAAACCCAAAGAATGGAAGTAAACAAAACTTTGGAGAAACGCAGAAGTAAAACTAAAGCTCTTTCAGGCCCATTACATATAACATCCAGGGCCCCACAAGAGAAATGTCTTAAAACCTACGCTAGCCAGAAAGTTAGGGAAACAGAAATGCCAAGGGCACCTTGGCTGCTACCAGTTCCACAGTCTGTCATTCTCGATGGAGAAGTCAGCAGGGTAAACTTTGGAAAACTTGATCAAGTTTATAATACAAGCTGTGAAAACTTTGCAAGAAATTCTCTTGACTGCGATTCAGGAAGTTCTACTGATGTACAGAGGTCTGGCCAAGCAGTTACTAAGAACATCCCCTGTGGGGAGGTTGAACGCAAACTCCATTGTAGAATGGAGGAGAACATTCCTAGAAACGAAAGTTCTGATAGCGCTCTTGGGGACAGTGATGATGAAGGTTGCACATACATTCCAGATGAACAGTCAGTCACTGTTAACTGTAGACCTGAAGAATTTTTAGAAGTGGAACTGGCTTTGCCAAGGTAAAGAAAAAAATAATAATAACCAGAACTTCTGGGGGTTGTTTTAGTTTCTTGCACTGTTGGGAGAGGCATGGGTTGTGAGGTATGACCTGTTTTTCGTGACCCGACAAATGCATGCACGACAAAAGCGCGCCGACAAAAGTGTGGCCCTAAAACCGCGATGTCAGCGCACCAACAAGAGTGTGCCAATAGAAGCACGATTTAAGTTAAGGTAAGGGTCAGGGTTAGGGTTAGGTTTAGAGCACGCTTCTGTCAGCACGCTGTTATCGGCGCGCTTCAGCGCTCATTCAACAGTGCGGTTTAGAATTTGCAGTTTTGTCACCGCGGTTTAGTCAGGCGCGTTTTTGTCGGTGAACCCCTGTTTTTTCATCATCTCCACCTGATCCAACTGATTCTTAGCCAGAACAATAGAATCTTACGCTTAAATCTTAAGCTGTGGAAAGGTGCATTTACCCAAGTAACATAGTGACAGTTTTTAATATGTGCTAATGTCAGCAACAGGAAAAATTGTATTCTTCTTGTTGTTGCTTTTACATATATTTTACATATATGCTACCTCATCATGTTATTTCCTTTCTGGGAAAGAAACATTGTATCAAGTGCAAAAAAGAAGGAACAAATAAAAAGCCAAAGAATTCAAAGGCATGAACAAAAATAAAAGAAAATGGCTAAGACTGTTTTATACCAATATAATTCACCATATTCTGTATCTTTGCTTCCAGTAAGTCCTTATGCAGATTAATACATTGCCTTTTCTTTATTCAGTTATTCACCTCTTTCCCTCTCCTCGTGACACATTTAATTTTCTTTCATATATTTATTCATATGTTCATTATCTCTACAGTATATGTCCAAAACAGATCAACTTACTTTTTTCTTACTGGCCACTCACTTTTTTATTTGATCCACATATATTTAGCTCCCAAGTATTCTTGACTGTCCCTTGTATTATCACACACACATAACTACCCTTTTCTCCCTACATTCAACTGACTCTTAAGTTTCTCCTGACATACCCAACCATCACTGCCTAATAACAGATAACACTCCTATACATAGATATTTGCACTTATTTCAGCAATGTTAACTCATTAATTTTAAAATGTAGAACAATTTTCAATTTCTTATACCTACCTATGATGACCGGGAGATAGATAGATAGATAGATAGATAGATAGATAGATAGATAGATAGATAGATAGA